AAACAGCAGAACTATCATCGTCTGTAAATAGCACTGGCAAGCATTTCATTAGTCTTAAAATATCACCTCTCTTGGTTTCCCACCACCCTCCAATCAATGTCTCTCTTTCCTATCCAGAGCTCCTTAAAGCAACAGCCTAAAGTGCTCTAGGAAGGGCTCCTGAACATGCTGTTAAAGAATCCAGGAGATGCTGACCCATGCTGATCTGACAGGTCTGCTCAATTTCATGATTTGTTATGAATAGAGTAAGATTTCTCAGTCTTCTTTCTTGTGGCTTAGACGAGTATTAGAACTTAAGATAACAGACGAAGGAGCAAAATTTGAACCAAAGGCAAAGTCTTAAATATCAGGACTTATCAAGATATTTTATTTTCCTAAGCACAAGACCAGAAGGAAGTTCTCTACAAAATTCAAAGTGGAACAATGTCACAAAGAGCTGCAGAAAACCCAGCTCTGTCCAGTCAATTCTAACCCACAGTGACCCCAGAGAAGAGCCAAGAAATGCCCCACAGGGTTTCTGAGGCTGTAAATCTCAGGGAAATGGAAGACCACCTCTTTCTTCTGTTAAGTGGCTAATGATTGATTTGAACTACTTATCCTTTGGCTAGTATCCAGATGACTTAGCCACTGCACTGCTAGGGCTCCTTGAACCTTCAGAAATAGGGCAGAATATAAAACACTGACATCCTGATGCTTGTATGAAATATCCTAATTCTTTTTTTCTCACCATATTTGACAAAATTCCTTCTTGTGGAAGGTCTTACATTTGAACAATTAAAATAAAACCAAAATAACTAAAGGTGTTTCTACCCTTCTCACCATCTGCATGGGAATCTGCAGTGGGACTCTGAAATATGAGCAATGACATCTGTTGATATTCGACCTTGGAGACCTAATGAGGCAGTTCTACTTTGTCGTACGGACTTGCTATGAACTGGTGCTGGAAACAAGCTTCTTAATATTTAGAGGCACCGTGGTAACAAACTGGTAATGCTTCAAACTGTCAACCCAACAGTAGGTAGTTAGAAGCCACCAGCAGCACAAGAGAAGAAAGATGGGCAATCTCCTCCAGTAGAGATTTACCACCTTGGAAACCTGCTGGAGGATAAGCTGTAAGTGGGACTTGACTCCACAGCGGTGAGCTTGGTTTACTGAATTCCTTCCATGCAGGGGAGTTGGCCAATGCTCTAGAAGCACAGCCACCACCCTTCTCTCAGTGGAGGCCTTATTGCTGGGGTTTCAGCAAAGCTTCCAGACTAAGGAAGGCTAGGGGGAAAGGCTTGGCAATCTACTTCCCAAAACCAGCTAATGAGAACTCTATGGATTGCAATGCTCAGTTTCACTGTGCATCGGGTCAACCACCACCACCAATGGCTACGTAATTATACTGCTGAGCATGTACCTGCACAGCAGTGGCTGCTGGTTGCCTACTTTTACCTATTCCTCTCTTCTAGGTAAGCAAACCTCAGTTCTTACTCAGGCACATTCCTGCTTACAAAAACAACACAGAACAAGCCAATGATTATATTCACCAGGTCATATATTCCCCAGGTGTGGCTGGCTACACACCTATGTCTGGTCAATAATATATAAAAGTAAGCATGTGACATTTCTGCATGGTCTTGAAAAGAGAAGACTGAGCCCCTTGCTGTCTGGAATGTACACTTTGGAGCTGGAACTCCAGCAGATATTATCAAGATGTCTGTTCATCCCTGAGGACAGAAGTAAAATGATGATCACTGTAGAGCAGAAGATGTGAATCTGAGTTCAGGTATTCAAAAAAGCCACTGCATCACTACTCCTCAACCCATGCCATGAGCCTTAGTTCTTTGGTTTATAGCAAGTGATCAAAATATTAACTGCTATTATCACTGCAATCCCAAAGGCCACGAGCTGCTCTGCAGGAGAAGGCAATCTCCTCCCATTTGATGTACGATCTCTGAAAACCTGCAGGAGGGTCAGCTATGGGTTGGCTCTTACTTGAGGACAAACAAAAACATATCTGTCATGTAGAGATTGCTGGTGGTGTAGTCCATAGGGATATACACTGCTCATTCGACGCTAGTACCTCACTGAGAGGTCAAATCTACCAGTGACTCTCAAGGAGAGAGGTGGGCATTCTCCCCTCACACAGTTTACAGCCTTGGAAATCCTGATGGAGGGTCAGCTATGAGTCAGTTCAGACTCGATGGCATTGAGTATTTGCTTGGTATCTATCATAGAGTACAAAGTCGTTTTTGCTATTAGGTGCCGTCGAGGTGAGTATGACTCACAGCAACCCTACGAACAACAGAACTGAACCTTGTCCTATCCTGTGCCGTCCTCACAATCTCTGACACACTCAAGCCCGTTGTGCTGCTCTCACTGTGTCAATTCACACAGCTGATGATCCTTCTCTTTCCTTGTCCTTCCATCTTTCCAAGCATGACGGGGTAAAAAAAAAACCAAAAACAAACAAACTAAAACGCCAACAACTTCCTACTTACTCAAAATGCCTTCACTGCTCTAAAGATTTTCATATCCAAATAGAAGCCACACAAGGATATTAGCTTTGAAACTTTCCCACAAGATGAAAGGCTTGAGATGAATTCAGCGTCTGTCATCACTCTTGCACTCCGTCACACTCCACTTTTTTCTTTTAACTTTTTTTTAATTAATTTTAATGAACATTTACAGACTGTGGATTTCCATTGATTCATTGTTGCATTTTTTTAATCCCTGCCCACCACCCAATTCACTCTTCTCTTTGAACAGTAAAAGAAAAATTCTTTTATTGTGATACAATCCCTCCCCTCAGCTCCACTCCATTATGCAGCCTTCATTCTGTCATGATAATAATATCTAATCATATATTGCTTCAAAACAGTTCTCTCTCTCATCTGTTTCAGTGCAGTATACATTATTTGTCCCATCTTTCTCAGTCTCTCCCCAACCCTGATGTCAGTCCTGTTTTACAACAGTGGCACTATGCAGCATTTGTCCTTTTGTGACTGAGATATTTCACTCGGCAAAATGCCCTCCAGGGCCACCCATCAGTGCTGAGCACCATGTGAAGACTCACTAAGAAAGCACAGTGAGTTCATGAGGAGACTCCCTGGGTGGCAGAGAGGTTAATGTGCTCACTGCGAACCTGAAGGATGGTGGTTTGAGTTCAACCAAAGATGTTTAAAAAGAGTTGAAGAGATGGTTATATTTTGAATAAAAACAAAACAAAACAAAGAAAAACCACCTTTGAGAACACTGGAATGCCATGCTACATTAACACATGGATTCGCCGTGAGTTTGAAGTGACTAAATGATTCATTGGTTGGTTGGTTGGTTGGTTGTTTGGTTGTGGCTGGTTGGTTGGTTGGTTGGTTCGTTGACTGGTTTGGTTAATAACTAAGTCCACTGCCCATCAGATATTGAATGAGATCACAACCATCACATCTAATGCCAAATAAATCCCTGCAGTGATGGTACAAACTACTAACTAAACATTTAATTATTATAGTCAATATCATTAAGCTACAGAGATAATAAATGTATATTGGAAAATGCCCTTACACTTTATAAATATACATTAGTGTGTCAAAGCCCTAAAAAGAAAGGCACATTAATTATAGTAATAATGGTGTGATAATTAATGTGGTTTTCTCAGTAGTACATAACTGTTTTCCAATTTGGATACTGCTCTGTGTAATATACATTACCTGGCATTCAAAACAAAGGTTATAACTTCTATTTTATGGTAATGATACTAATGTCCTAAGAGTTAAAGATAATGTAGCCAGTTTATAACAACAATTATAACTGAAGTCAGAATTGTCTATAAGCTTAAAAAACTTTCTTTTATTCAACTCTAGCTCCTAAAATGTTAGAGAATTACAGGAAAACATTCCTTTTTTCTTTTGAGACTTATAATAAAACATTTGGATCCCACTTCTATTTTATTATAACACAAGTATTTCTTAAAGAGAGGTAAAACAGCATAGATTTTGTTTCATAATTGATTAAAAAAGAAAGGCTAAAACACAAATGAAACAAGTTACAAAAGTACATTTACCTAAAATAATGTCACCTTTTATTAATTAACAGTTTCAGTGTGACCTACATGTTTCCATAACTAGGATCACTAAACACTATTCAGTCCATACACACCAAAACTACAAAGATACACCTACTATGGTATATTTTTAACTGTCCCTATAAGTATTCCTTTTGAAACAATCCTGATTTAGTTTCCATCTCCTCATCAAGCTTTTTTAAATAAAAGGAAAGAATGCTGGAATAATCTAAGTCTTTAAAGCATTCTATTGACTATGTCAAGCAATTTGGCCAGGATCCAAACAATAAATGAGTTATGAATACAGAGAGGGAAGAAATAAATACCTATATTTAAAATAACAACTCATTGCCACCAAGTTGGAATCAACTCATAGTTGATCCTTCAGTGAGATTTTTAGGGGCTATAAATTTGCAAATAAAGTAGATTGACCATCTTTCTCTCACAGAGCACTTGCTAGATTCGAACTGCCTGCCAGCAGTGCACTTCCTACTCACTAGGCCATTGCTACTCACCATCGCTCCGTCCGTTAAAATCTGTGTAAACATGTTTATTTGTGTATGAGTATATATTTCTATTTAAGTTAAATATATATTTTCATACATACAAGTGTGTGTACAACCATGATGATTATATTAAAAATTTATCATTGGAATAACATTTTTTTGGGCTGTTTAACAGTGAAGAATTAAAGCACGCAGATGAGAAGACGTTCAAATGGAAGCTTAGAGCTCCCCCTTTCATCTTCTTGAAGAAATTCACCAAAGTCTCCTCTATGAGACAGAGGAGGCTACCAGACAGCTTAATAGTCCTCATGATCTGCAAAGAGTAACGCTCTGGCCTCTGGACACTTGCTCCATGCATTAGAGCGCATTTATTGGTAGTTCATTATTCATGAGTAATTTAAGAGGGGAGTGGGGGGGGGGAAGACACTTTTAAAAGTAGGAATACTCACAACGCCATTTCAAACTGTTCCAGCCACTTTTTCTTTAAATCTTTCGTTTTGCAATAAAATTCTAAGCCGTTTTGTCCTTGGGTATGGATGAGGTAGAAACCATAAGACCACTGTTAAAATGAAAATTATTTTGGTTAATATGGGATCACTAATGGACAAAACCACAATTCTAAATCCATAATAATCATACAAAAATTAAAAAAAAAACCCAAGTCTATAACACTTGTTAACATAGAATATGCAACTAACCAGGCTTACTCCTATAATCAGAATTAGCTTAGCAGATTCTATAGTCAGGTACACTTAATTTCTTGGCCATTAAAACACTAACAATGACCTGATCAGCTGTGACATTACTCAGTTCTTTCTCATAGATGCCTGTTTCAAACAAAACACTTGGCAAGCACACTTTTCTTCAATCATAAAATTATGATTCATATAAGATAATTAACCCCCCAAGATTCACCTTTTTATTTTCCTTGTCAGTTGTGGGATTGTTGGCTATCTTATACTGCTGGAGATCTATTATTTCCTTCATCTCATAGTTATCTCCTTTCCTTTTACACACAATTACAGCCAGGTCGAATAGAAAGATATGCCTGTGGAAGACAAAGTGAGGGAGAGGGAGATGGATTGAAAATGGTACGGAAGCACATAGATTAATTTTTTTTCCCTAGAAATAGCTAATTCATCAAACTCATTTTTCCTTTTAGCTGAAGACAGAAAGTTGAACTGGGCATCTGCAAGCACTAAACAACAAAAATCCATTGCTGTCAAGTCAATTTCACTTGATGACGACCTCATGTGTTAGAGACTGGTACTGCCTCATATGGCTTTTTTTTGGCGAGAGTCCACAGAAGTAGCCCACCATGTCTTTCTTCTGAGGCCTTCAAATGTAGAGTTGAAGACCAATCTTTTAATTGGTCTATTAGACCAATTAGCATTGGGTTGAAACCGATTCATAGCTGATTCTTCATTGGGTTTACAAAGTTATGAATAGCGTTGGAGAAGATTGTTCATCTTTCTCTCTCGGAGACAGCGGTGGTGGTGGTTATTGAATATAAAAACTGATTCATAGCTGACCCTCCAGTGGGTTTCCCAAGGCACTAAATCACATTAGAGGATTCTGCTCTCTTCCTCCTGTAAAACAGGTGAATAAGTCAAACCATGTATTTGTTGGGTTGGGGTGTAATTCCTTACCACTCAGCCACCAGAGATACCTAGGAGACAGGTTTGCTATTGTTTGCCTTTAAGTCAGAGCTGACTCACAGCTGAGCCCCTAAGCAGATTTTCAGAGGCAATAAAGTGTAAGGGAGGGGACTGTCCATCCTTCTCCAGCAGAATAGTTGTCGGATTTAAACTGCATGCCTTTGGGATTACAACAAAGGTTCTTACCACAAAGCCATCCAAGATTCCTGGGAGACAGAGATGTTGGCTGTTATATGCCATCGAGTCGCCTTTGATTCAGAGTGACCCAATTGACAACAGCTCTGAATACTGCCCTACCCTGAGCCAGTCTCACTGAATCTGGCACACACTCCATTTCCCCAGTTATTGTGTCAATCCATCTCACCCAGGGTCTTCCTCTCCTTCATCATCCCTCCACCTTTCCAAGCATGATGTCCTTCTCCAAGGACTGGTCCCTCCTGGCCATGTGCACAAAATATATGAGACAGAGCTTGAAAATCCTTGCCTCCAAAGAGAAACTTGGTTTTGCCCTCTCCAAGATAGACTTATTTGTTTCCTTGGCTGTCCATGGTATGTTCAAGACTCTTCTCCAGCACCACAACTCAAAGACATCAATTCTTCTTCTATCATCTTTAGTCATTGTTCAGCTCTCTGATGCATAGCAAGTAACTGCAAAGACCATGGCCTGAAGCAGCAGTGCCTTAGTCTAGTCTCTAGACTGACATCGTTGCTTCTCAGCACTCTGGAGAGGTTTCTGACAGCAGAATTTTCTAGTGCAATTCGTCTTTTGATTCTTGACTGTGGCTGGTGCCACAAGGTGAACAAGTTGAAATTGTTAACAACCTCAATCCCTTCTTCATCTATCGTTGTGCTACCAGATGGCACAGTGGTGATAATCTTTGTCTTTTGATGTTAAGCTTCAATCTTTATTGAAGACTACAGTCCTTGACCTTCTGCAGCAAATGTTTCAGGTCCTCTTCAGTTTTGGCAAGCAAAGTTGTATCATCTGCATAACACAGGCTGTTGATGAGTCTTTATCCAATCCTGATGCCACACTCCTCCTAACAAAGTCCAACTTCTTGAATAATCTGTTCTGTATATAGATTGTAAGGTATGGAGACAAGATGCACCCCTGATATACTCCTTTTCTAATTTTGAACCATGTAGCATTTCCCTGCTCTGTTCTTATGACTGCCCCCTGGTCCAGGTATAGGTTTTGCATGAGTTCCCTCAAATGCAAGCAATTTGCAGCTACCATTGCTCTGCAGGAGAAAGATGGACAGTCTCCTCCCATGTAATTTACTGCCCCTGAAAAGCTGCTATGAATTGATTCTGATTCGTAACAGCAGTACATAATGTAGGTGATGTACATAACAAGGTTCTGCACATAGCAGCAACAGGTAAACACAAACTGAGCAGAACAAAGGCAAATAGTAATCTAGAAAAAACAGACAAAACTTATTGCCCTACAGTCTGAACTGACTCAAAGTTACTAACTACTCTCTCAGCCTGTTTCCAGAGGCTGTAAATCACACACACTGAGGAGACTGCCCATCTTTCTCTCTTGGAGGCACCACCTTTTGGATAGCAGAACAACTCCCTACAGACTGACTCTCTCTCCTTTTATTATGAAAAATCATGAAACTTGGGAGAGTTATAATCCTACTTTCTAATATCAAAACTTCTTTTTATGAATTCTCAATGATTATCATTATCATTAACACACATGCACCATTTCCAGACACACACAATGGTAGTGTAACACACTTGAATCACTTTCAAAGTCCATTTTTCCCAGAGAGGCTTTAAGAATGAATGACTTCCTTGCACTATCAATGAAGGCAAAGCACAGGGGTGGGAACAAGCTGATGCTGACCCCTGCTGGCTGACCAGCTTTTTTCAACAGGCTCCAAA